TGTCTTGGAACCTTGCTCCACATCTGGCTCCTCAGCAGTAGTCTCAAGAGTTTCTTGAGTATCTGCTACAACATCACTAGGTGAGTTTCCCTACAACTCAAGCTCAACTCCCTCTTGCTTCTGGTCTTGGAACCTTGCTCCACATCTAGTTCCTCACCATTAGTCTCAGGAGTTTCATAAGTATCTGCTACAATATCACTAAGTGAGTTTTCCTGCAACTCAAGCTCAACTCCCACTTGCTTCGTCGAACCTTGCTCCACATATGGTTCCATTTCCAACCGCACTTTCTTCAATTCTCTGGCGGTCCTTGTGAAGCTAACTCGTTTCTACTTGCTCATAACGTAGTTCTCACAATGACCCACATCAACAGATTTCAGACCTTCTAAACCTTCTTTCGCAGTCAGCATCTTCATTCCTTTGACGCTCATATGTCCAAGTCTATTGTGCCATAGACTTGAATTGGAAGCACTCTCAGCAGCAGTAGACATGTTTATACACTCTGCAGTAGTGTATAAGGTTCTGGATTTTGTGCCTCGTGCAACAACCATGGCGCCCTTCACAATCTTCCATAAACTCTTAGCCTGTGCTATCCAACTAACCAATAGAGATCAGGTTCTTCTTGAGACCAGGAATGCATTTGACATCATGTAATGTCCACTGATTTCCTGCTGGAGTTTGTATGGAGACATCTCTCTTCCCTTCAATCTCCAAGGTTTTGTTGTCGACAAGATACACATTCCCGAAATTTTCTGATTTGAAATTTCGAAACAATTCCTTACTTGGAGACGAATGGAACGATGCACCTGAATCCAAAATCTAGGATTCAACTGGGCTGTCCACACTAAGGATTAAAACGTCCTCAGTGTCTTCTGTTATATAGAATCATCATCATCTTCAGATTTATGATTCTGCTTCTTCTTCAGTTTTGTACAATCTATCCGAAAGTGTCATTTTCCCCCACAGCTCCAACACGTTACGTTGAGTTTGTTTGGATATTTTCCCCGGTTCTTTGATTTTGATCGCCCATGTTTGTTTGAGCTCTTTGATTTACTTCTTCCCCTTCGATCAACACTGAGAGCATTGCCTGATAATCTCAAGTTTCCCGTTTGCGAATACTTTCGCTGAGAACTACATCTCGTATTTCATCAAACTTTAGTTTATCAGACCGTTGGGAACTACTGATTGCAGAAACAACAGTATCCCATGACTCGGGTAAGGATGACATCAAAATCAACGCTTTAATTTCATCTTCGAAATTCATTTCCACCGAACTTAGTTGACTTATGATCATATTGAATTCATTTATATGATCAGCAACAGATCCACCTTCAGACATCTGTAGATTGAACAATCTCCGCATCAAATACACCTTGTTCATAGCCGACGGTTTTTCATACATATTTGACAGCGCCTTCAATAGATCTGACGTTGTCTTCTCCTTGATAATGTTAAACACCACGTTTTTTGATAGCGTCAACCGGATTAGCCCCACAAGGCTTGTCGTTCCTTGAGCTTCCACTGCTCCGTGGTCATGGTATTCGGCTTCACCCCCAACAGAGGTTCATGAAGATCTTTCTGGTATAGATAATCTTCAATCTGCATCTTCCGGAAACTGAAATTGGATCCATCAAACTTCTAAATTCCAATCTTTGAACTTTCCATCTTCACAGATCGTGGTGAATTTCGCCTAGCTTTGATACCAGTTGTTAGGGTCGCACAACAACGCACACGCTCGATCTAGATGAACACAAAGAACAAGATAGAGAAAAGTGCAAGGAGAACTCTGGCTAAAAGATTTTTTTTTTTTTATTGATGACTTCACGTATGTACAGTAAGAGAGAATTACAGAGAATACAGAAAGTACATTTTCAAAGCTCTACCGGACGGGATATATATATATATAGTTCAATTTACTATATATAGCTTTACCAGCTTTAACCATCTACTATATATAGTTATTTTCTAAATATAGCTTTACCAGATTTAACCATCTACTATATATAGTTATTTACTATATATAGCTATTTACCATATATAGCTTTACCGGATATAGCTTTACCAGATATAACCGTTGACCAAGCTATAAATAAGCAGCAGGCTCCATAACCTAACACTTTTCTTATTGTTCAATCACTCTCATGAATCTTTCTTACAGGAGGGTGAGTAAAAGAGTTCAATCTGTCTCATTCTTGTTGAGTCTTTCCTTCCTTAATGAAAGAATGAAAGAAGCCGAGGTGAAGGAGAATAAATCGAAAGGGGCGAAGCAGTGAGACCGAGTTTATCTCATTCAATCTGTTTAGGGAATAGAGGTGAAGGAGCTTGACCAAGAAAAAAGGTTAATGAGTAAGTAGTGAGAGGAACGAAGCAACTCGACCGATAGGGAGAGGAGAAAGAGAAGTTCAAAAATAAATAGCTTTACCTCATTCAAGAATAAATAGAAAAAAGGAGAATGAATCTTGAGTTTTTGTTTAAAGTTCGTTCAAGAAAAGAGCTACTGCACCTATTTACCTCGTTCAAGACTAGTTCAACCCTTGTTTACAAGAGAGTAAAAGAGTTCAAGAAAGAAGAAGAGAAAGAATAGTTCAACCCTCGTTCAATCAGGAAAAGGTGAAGACAAGAGAAAGAATCAATAGTTTCAATTAGGGACAGACAATGGAATTGTTCAACCGACAGGTGAATGAGTTTACCTCATTTACTGTTCAAGAAGGGAAGAGAATAGAGGGGAAGGAGCTTGACCATCCTTCAGTTTACCGAGTGTTTGAATAACTCACAATAACGGAACAAGGGGCGAAGCCACTCGACCGATAGGGAGAGGGGCAAAGCAACTCGACTAGAAGAGGAGAGGAGTGAAGGAGAATGAATCATGCTTTCGTTGAGTCTTTGTTTACAGTTCAAGAAAGGAGAAGAGAAAGAATGAATCCGAGAATTTCTCTTTTTCTTTTACCTTGTGAAAGAAGGTGAAGAAGTAATAGTCCAGGAGCGAAGATGAAGACAAAGTGAAATCTGGTTCGTTCAGTGGTTCAGTCTAATTCTTGTTGAGTCTGACCTTGATCTTTTTCTTTACCTTGTTCAATCAGGTGAAACAACGAGAACTTCCAGAATAAGCATGATGCAAGCCTTCGTCTATGTATCGACTATCGGACCCATAACAACACTCAATCAAAAAAGAGCTCGTGCCACTCATTGCGAACTTTTTAATCAATTAGGTGTAGGAAGGTATTTCACCAAGTTGGACTGGCGACCGGAGTACTACCAAGTGTGGATATTAGAGAGCTTAGAGGGCAAGATGACGTGAGGCTGAAGCATTAAAGTTTCTAGTAATGTTGATCTAACCAATGCCTCCTTTTGCACAAAGATGAATGAAGGATTTCGCCCCCCATGCATCGTGAATGGGAGAAGTTTCTCGTAGTCTGTGCTATTTGATACTAATTGATACTAAATAGATCAGATGAGATTTTGGTGTATACTCTCATTGGAAGAACACGCGGAGCACCTTTTTAACATGGAGAGAGCAATATTCCAGATCATAAGAGAAAGTCTGCTCTATGTGAAGTGCTTTGCATAAGGTCTAGTTCCTTGGGCATTGGATTGACGACGACATGAGTTGGTTGGGTCAAGAGAAGGTGCGTGCAAGCCGTGGTGGACTGGGAGACGCCACACAAGGTGCAAGAATTACGATTCTTCCTCAGATTAGTCCTACTTCCAAATTTGTTGACAGATTTCGAGCAACCCCCAACCTTTGAGAAGGCCACTCCTCTCTCTTCCAGCTTGTTGTGACCTGACCACTTTCATGCTTCGAATGAGAAGTTGCGCTTTCGATCTTGTTCTTAGTTCCAGGTCTGGTCCTTTAGGTGAGGCTCTTGACTTTACAGGGTGGTTTCCAGTTCAGGAATTCGTGGTTGGCTGAAACCTTTTCCTTCTTTCACTCTTTTACTCTCCTATAAAAAAACAAAAATGAGACTGAACCTTCAAACATTTTCCTTCTTTCACTCTTTTACTCTCATGTAAGAAACAAGAATGAGACTGAACCTTCTTTCACTCGAGTTTCACTATTCTTTCAGGAATTCGTGAACATAATAATTTCTGGATGACCATGTTCCTAGAAAAAAGATACTTTCGAGAAAGAACGAGCACGAATGAAGTAGCTATACATACAAATCCATTTACGGATCTACATGCTTCGATTGGAACTAGAAGTTCCAGAACAGGTGTACCACCATAATGAAACTACCTTTTCTTTTTTTTTATTCGGATAGAATTTCTGTTGGCTTCGTTGGGAGGCTCGCGTAGTTTGTTACGTCAGATACAAAAGGATAAGTTGCGTTGGAATTGAGAAAGTTCCATGGAGTTCATAATTGTATAAAAGGAGGAGAAGTAGTGGGGCACATCAAGGCACTTCTTGGTAAAATTGGAACAAAAATATCATTTGATTCGTCAATCCTTAAATAAAGAAATAAGCAAAGTTCCATCGTTGAGTGAGAAATGGGAAACTTCTCTTTCTTTCATTTGTTGAGTCTTGACTTCCTGTTCAGTCTCATTCATCTTGCTTTCGTCTTTCTCCTTATGATTTAGAATTATAAAGGAGAATGAATCCTGAACCAGATTGAACTGTAAACAAAGACTCAAGCAAGACAAGATGAATGAGACTTTACAATGAAAGAATAAGGAGAAGAAAATGAAAGAAAGATTTGATTTGCTCTTGAACCGATATTACAGTGTTTAAAAGAAAGAAGGGTGTAACGACCCTAAATTTCCACATATCTAGAGTCGCCACTAACGTTTCATGCTCATCTCTAATGCAGAATATAAATTTAAGAATGCTCATCTTTATTAGCGGAAAAATTTAAAACTTTAGAATACGTTCAAACATTAGAAAACACTGCCAGACTTACGTATTTCAAACATCATGCTGGAGTTCAAAAAAGATAAAAACAATTATAAATTAAATAATTTAAATGAATGAAATGCAAACACCCTATCCTAGCCAAGACTATGAATTTTAAATATGCAACTATCCTATGCACGCGCCACAATCTCTGATCACGATACCACCGTCAACTGTACATGGGAGCCTTGCCTTTACCTGAAAAACAATATGGCACACGGCCTAAGAAATACTCAGTAAGTGACCCCACTATAGGGGCCATGCTAATGTAAACACATGCAATCATGAATTAGGGACCTATCTCCAATCATCTTAAGGGTGGCCTCCAGTCTCGGACAAGTTGGATGTATAGTACTTCCCTATACACAACTCACACGTGTGAGTGTGAATCCCCAGGGCGCTCGCACACCCCCTGGACCCTCTGGTCAAGCTAATTTGTAGCGACGTCCGGAGGTCAGCGGAACCCCATAGTGTCATGCGCCTCATGAACACCCTCATCTGTGTGCTTTCGCACCTGTGTGTTAGGGTCGCACAACAACGCACACGCTCGATTTAGATGAGCACAAAGAACAGGATAGAGAAAAGTGCAAGAAGAACTCTGGCTAAAAGAATTTTTTTTTATTGATGACTTCACGTATGTTCAGTAGGAGAGAATTACCGAGAATACAGAAAGTATATTTTCAAAGCTCTACTGAACGGGATATATATATGGTTCAGTTTACTATATATAGCTTTACCAGATTTAACCATCTACTATATATAGCTATTTACCATATATAGCTTTACCGGATATAGCTTTACTATATATAGCTTTACCATATATAGCTTTACCAAATATATCTTTACCGGATATAACAACTGTTGATCAAGCTATAAATAAGAGAGCAGACTCCATAACTTAACAATTCTCCCACTTGGAGACTGATCCTACACCATACCAATTAAGGCTTTTGCATAACCTTAATTTTCCAACATCAACACATTTTGTCAACATGTCTGCTGGATTCTTTGCACCCTCTATCTTCTCCAAACACATATCGCCTTCTTCCACTAACCTGCGAGTGAAATGATATCGTCTTCTAATGTGTTTTGTCCCTGAATGATAGACTGAGTTTTTCACCAACTGTATGACACTCTGATTATCTATATAAAGGATCTTCTTGCACTACTTCCAGCCTAATTCTTGTAGATAGTCTGTCATCCATATCATCTCTTTTCCAGCTTCAGCTATGGCCACGTACTCAGCTTCAGTAGATGAAAGAGCAACGCATTTCTGAAGCTTGGACATCCAACTCACTGCTGTTCCATCTATAGTGTAGATATACCCAGATGTGCTCTTGCTGGAGTCTACATCTCCACTCAGATTAGCATCCACAAAACCTTGTAGAACTACTTTGCCATTGCCATAACAAAGTGAAGTATTGGATGTACCTTTCAGATATCTCAAAAGCCACTTCCAGCTTCCCAATGTTCCTTCCCTGGATTTGCCATGTACTTGCTAACAACTCCCACTGCATGTGTTATGTCAAGTCTAGTGCAGACCATAGCATACATCAGACTCCCAACTGTAGAAGCGTACGAAACTGATGCCATGTGCTCACGTTCCTCAACTATCTTGGGAGATTGCCCCTATGACAATTTAATATGATTTGCCAAGGGGGTAGTCCTGAGTTTAGCGTTATTCATCTTGAATTTGGACAACACCTTCTCAATGTACTGCTCTTGGGATAGATTTAATGTGCCAGAAGATCTATCTCGAGAAATCCTCATCCCAAGAATTTGCTTCGCTGCACCTAAATCTTTCATCTCAAATACTGAAGGCAAGCTTGCCTTCAGGTATTTTATCTCCCTCACACTTGATCCAGCAATTAGTATATCTTCCACATACAGGAGTAGAAACACATAAGAATCAATGTATTTCTTGAGGTAGCAACACTGATCCTTTTTACTCCTGTGGAAACCATTGTTGCACATGAAGAAGTCAAACTTCTTGTACCATTGTCTCAGTGCTTGTTTCAGCCCATACAAGCTCTTATTGAGCTTACACACCATGTGCTCCTTGCCTGGAGCTGCAAACCCTTCTGGTTGTTGCATATAGATCTCCTCATCTAGATCTCCATGTAAAGACGCCGTTTTTACATCCATTTGCTCAAGGTGCGAATTCTCCGATGCAACAATACTCAGCAGAATTCGGATAGTAGTTAATTTCATCATTGGAGAAAAGATCTCAGCATAATCAATGTCTTTTCTTTGTGAATATCCTTTAACTACTAACCGAGCCTTAAACCTCCTTCTACCATCTGGTTGAACTTGATTCTGAACACCCATTTGTTCAACAGAGCTCTCTTTCCTGTAGGCAACTCAATCAGCACCCACGTATTATTCTTTTCAAGTGAGCTCATCTCATCATCCATGGCTTGCTCCCACTTGGTTGAATCTTCCACTTGTAGGGCCTCATCAAAGGACTCTGGTTCTCCTTCGTCAGTCAGCAACAGATAATGTAATGAGGCTGAATATCTATTTGGTGCTCTGATAGTTCTGGATGATCTTCTCAACACCTGCTCAGGTGCAACTTGCTCCACGTCTGGTTCTTCAGCAATAGGATCAGGAGTTTCTTGAGCTTCGGTTGTAACATACTACGTGAATTTTCCTGCCACTCAAGTTCAACTCCCACTTGCTTTGTAGTCTCAAAGTTTATCTTCTCTCTGTCCTTGTACATGACATTTTCATCAAAGGTCACATCGCAGTGTCTTAGAATTTTCATATTTTTCTCATCCCAAAACCTGTACCCGAACATGTCAGAGCCATAGCCTATGAAGTAGCATTTCATAGCCTAGCATCAAGCTTATCTCTCTTCTCTGGATCAACATGAACATATGCAGTACAACCAAAAGTTCTCAAGTGAGAGTACTTGAGTTCTTTTCCTGTCCATACTTCTTCGAGCAATTTGAACTTCAAGGGTACTGACGGCCCTCTATTAATCAAATATGCTGTTGTGTTCACAACATCAGCCCAGAATGTCTTTGGTAGTCCACAGAGTGAATCCCCATGCTTCTTGCTTGCTCATTCAATGTTCTGTTCATCCTTTCTGCAATACCATTTTGTCTTGCCTTACCGGGAATTGTTCTTATTAATCTAATTCCCCCAGCTGCACAAAATGTTATAAACTCTGATTTGTTGTACTCTCCTCCATTGTCAGACCTCAGACATTTGATCTTCAAGCCGGTCTGATTTTCAACTTCAGCTTTCCACTTCTTGAAGGTGGTAAACACATCTGACTTGTGTTTCAGAAAGTAAACTCATACCTTCCACCTGAAGTCATAGATGAAGGTGACGTAGTACCTTGATCCACCAAGTGATGAAACTGGAGATGGTCCCCAGACGTCTGTATGGACTATTTCCAACCGCACTTTCTTCGATTCTCTGGTAGCCTTTGTGAAACTAACTCGTTTCTGTTTGCCCATAACACAGCTCTCACAAAGACCCATATCAACAGATTTTAAGCCTTCTAAAGCTTCTTTCGCAGTCAGCATCTTCATTCCTTTGACGCTCATATGTCCAAGTCTATTGTGCCATAGACTTGAATTGGAAGCACTCTCAGCAGCAGTAGTCATGTTGATACACTTTGCAGTAATGTATAAGGTTCCAAATTTTGTGCCACGTGAAACAACCATGGCGCTCTTCACAATCTTCCATGAACTCTTTCCAAACTTTGTTGTATAGTCTGTGCTATCCAACTAACCAATAGAGATCAGGTTCTTCTTGAGACCAGGAATGTATCTGACATCTTGTAATGTCCACTGATTTCCTGCTGTAGTTTGTATGGAGACATCTCCCTTCCCTTCAATCTTCAAGGTTTTGTTGTCGGCAAGATACACCTTCCCGAAATTTCCTGATTTGAAATTTCGAAACAATTCCTTACTTGGAGGCAAATGGAACAATACACCTAAATCCAAAATCCAGGATTCAGCTGGGCTGTCCACACTAAGGATTAAAACGTCCTCAGTGTCTTCTGTTGTATATATAGAATCATCATCATCTTCAGATTTATGATTCTGTTTCTTCTTCAGTTTTGTACAATCTGTCCGAAAGTGTCATTTTCCCCCACAGCTCCAACACGTTACGTTGGGTTTGTTTGGAGATTTTCCCCGGTTCTTTGATTTTGATCGCCCATGTTTGTTTGAGCTCTTTGATTTACTTCTTCCCCTTCGATCAACACTGAGAGCATTCCCTGATAATCTCCAGTTTCCCGTTTGCGAATACTTTCGCTGAGAACTACATCTCGTATTTCATCAAACTTCAGTTTATCAAATCCTTGGGAACTGCTGATTGTGGCAACAACAGTATCCCATGACTCGGGTAAGGATGACATCAAAATCAACGCTTTAATTTCATCTTCGAAATTCATTTCCACCGAACTTAGTTGACTTATGATCATATTGAATTCATTTATATGATCAGCAACAAATCCACCTTCAGACATTTGTAGATTGAACAATCTCCGCATCAAATACACCTTGTTCATAGCCGACGGTTTTTCATACATATTTGACAGCGCCTTCAATAGATTTGACGTTGTCATCTCCTTGATAATGTTAAACGCCACGTTTTTGGATAGCGTCAACCGGAGGTTCATGAAGATCTTTCTGGTACAGATAATCTTCAATTTGCATCTTCCAGAAACCGAAATTGGATCCATCAAACTTCTAAATTCCAATCTTTGAACTTTCCATCTTCACAAATCGTGGTGAATTTCACCTAGCTCTGATACCAGTTGTTAAGGTCGCACAACAACGCACACGCTCGATCTAGATGAACACAAAGAATAGGATAGAGAAAAGTTCTATGGCTAAAAAGGTTTTTTTTTTTTTTTAATTGATGACTTCACGGTATGTACAGTAAGAGAGAATTATAGAGAATACATAAAGTACATTTTCAAAGCTCTACCGGACCGGATATATATATGGTTTAGTTTACTATATATAGCTTTACGAGATTTAACCATCTACTATATATAGTTATTTACCATATATAGCTTTACCAAATATAGCTTTACCGGATATAACAGTTGACTAAGCTATAAATAAGAGAGTAGACTCCATAACCTAACACTGTGCGCATTCACGCTCATCATTTAGTGCGCGTCCGCACTCATCATCTCTAGGGGAAGTAGCCTTATGCTTATGAACATACAATATGAATGAGGTCCCTCTAAATCCATCATATTGTCTCTTCTGACACAACCCTCTAGTCTCATCTCTTTGTTACTCTAGGTAACACATACTCGTAGATATTTATATTAATATCATTTTCACGCTCGTAGGGTTATGTCCTATGTCGATTTAACGACATGATGCAATATGGCACTCATCATCATCATATTAAGGTAAACATCATGCGATCATCATACTCATCATATTGTCACAAAGTGCATCAAACATATCAAGTATGTCATTCATCAAAAAATATATATACTGCACACATCATCAAGTATCGTAACCCACACATCATCATAACTCATATACCGCATCATACGACATAGTTCATACATCATCATAACTCATACAATTTTTTAGCCTATCCTATAGTAAGGCCACTTACTTGGTTGACCTTGGCCGAAGTACTCCCTAAATAGCTAAACGTAAGCTCCCGTTCCGTGAGAGTTGCTTCCTACGTTGTCGGGGTTTGTTTCCTATCACACCGTTCACCACTTTCCGTTAGTATTTCACAATTTATTTACCTATAATTCAATAAATGTGAAATACGACTCTAAAATGGTCTCGGATACCTTAATCGGGGCCAAAAACAGATTCGGGAGGGTCGAAACAATAGAAACTGGGCTGAAAACAGGTGAGCTGAGCCGAACAGCCGTTGGGAGTCGCCGGAGCGTCACGAGAGGGAGCCCGAGCTGTTTGTTTCGAGCCGAGCCGAGGAACCGCCTGCACCGCTGTGTGACACGTGGCAGTAGCAGAGCGAGCCACATCGTGCGGTAGCATCGGGTCGAAGCGCGTGTCGCAGTCCGATTCGGGTCGTGGTCCGAGTCACGGGCTGCGAAAGGCCACTAGGCCAAGACTAATCGTTGGGCCGCAAGTGTTTGGGTTGCAGGCTGACTCAATTGGACCGTGGGTCTGGTCTCGAGTTGGTTCAACTGAATTGTAGCTTCTAGGCTGGTTTGAGGTTTAAGCCACTGTAGTTGGGCTGGGCCGAAGGTAGAGGCCAAGGGAAAGAATGGGCTGGCTCTCTCGGGTTTTGGGTTTGGGTTTACCCGGATCTGTGGATCTCGTCTTCCTTACCCGACTTCGTCGATTTTTCGATGAGTTTTCTCTCTCCTTCCCGCGGCGTTTCCATTTCCGATTTCGGTCCTCTTTCTTCCTTTTCCTCTTTATTTATCGTCCTTGTTTCTTTTCTGGGAGTTTTTCGGCCTAAAAGTTCCTAAAACCACAGATCTAAGAACTTTTAGGAAAACCCAATTTTTCGACCTCGGTTATCGACAACGGTGCTTACGCAAAAAGCACAAAACGCACCTTGAGTTATTGTGCTTTCGTTAGGGATCCTTCTCGTGGTGGTAACTGATCGTTTGGTGTCGGTTTGACGGTGGTTTGAGGGTTCGTCAGAGAAACTAGAAACTCGCCGATATTTATCTGAAATCTCTCTCTCGTATTTTCTTTCTTTTCTCCCTTTGCAGGTATTCTGATAGGTGCTGGGATTTGTGGGCTAAAGGCTGGGCGTGGTGTGGCCTTCGTTTCTAGTGGGGTCCGCGAAACTCGGCGATCGCCGAAAAACTCGCGAGTTTTCCGGCGACTGAGTTTTTTTTTTTCGGTTTCATTTTCTTTCCCTTTTTTTTTTCTCTTTTTCTTTCTCGAATCGTTACAAAGGGAGAAGAAAATGAAAGAAGAAGAATCAGATATTCCCTAAACTTGACAGTCAAGTAAATGAATGAAATCCGGAACCTGAACCTGATTGAACTCTGGAACCTTTAGAAAAGAGAGAGATTCATGAGACTGAACTACTCCACCTTCACCTGAACCTCTATTCCCTTCCCTTTTTACCTTATTTATTAACCTAACCTTATTGAAAGAGGTAAACAAAGACGAAACCAAAAATCTGAACCGAAACCTTCTCCGAGTTTACAGTGTTTGAAAGAAAGAAGGGAGTCGAGTCAATGAATTAACTGCTTTACAAGAGAATTGATTTCAGAAGAAAATGAAACATGAATGAGACTGAACCTATCCTCTTCTCCTCTCACTACTTACTCATTCAGCTTTGACTCTATTCCCTTAAGTTATTGTGAGTTATTCTTTCACGAACTGGAAACAAAGACGAAAGATTCCTTCTCCTTCACTACTGAATGAACCAGATTGAACTCTTTCACGAGGGAAAGCGGCTTCCATAGACAAAGGGAGTAGGGTTGAGTCTCCTTTTGCGGACTCAACCTACTCCCCTCCCTTATTGAAGGAGGAAAACTCGGTCTCACTGCTTCGCCCCTTTCCGATTCATTCTCCTTCACCTCTGCTCTTTCGGCTCCCTTCTTGAACTATAAGTGGCTTCGCTCCTTCAACCGATTGAACAAGGGAAAAGAAAAAGATCAATACGGGGGATTTATTCGACTGAACTGAACCTCGTAAACTATCAGCTTCTCTACGAAACCGGAACCTCTATTCCCTTCAGTTGACAGGAGAGGAAATGAATGCAAGAATCAGAATCAAATGAAAGAGAAGTAGTTCAACCCTTGTTTATAGGAGAGTAAAGAAAAAATAAGAGAATGAAAGAGAAGCGACTGAACCTTTACACTCGAGTAAATGAATTCAATCCTGAACCTATTCTGTATGGTCTCATTACTTCGCTCCTCTCCCTCTCGGTCTCGTTGCTTCGCTCCTTCACCTTCACCTTTAGAGAATGAAAGAAGGGAAAGAAAAGAAGAATCAACATTCATTCTCCTAAACCTATCGGTAAAGCTGCTTCGCTCAATCACCTGTACTTTACAAGAGAGTAAATGAATGAAATCCCTTCCCTGAACCTATTTATTCAAACAATGAATGAAATTCGGAACCGGAACCTTCTTGCACTCCTCCTTATTCATCAAGTGTTTCAAGACTCAACAAGAATTCTCAGGAACCGAAATGACCTGACCTTCACCTATTTATCGAGAAAAAGATCAAGACTCAAGCAAGATAAGATTCATGAGAATAACCTAAAGGAGAATCAAATGAAACATGAATTCTCCTTTTCCTCTATTCTCTTTCCTTCACTTGACAGTCAAGTAAATGAATGAAATCCTGAACCTATTTATTCTTCTTTTTCAGAAGTCAAAAGACAAAAGCAAGACAAGAAAGATGAATTCTCCTTTTCCTATTTATTCTTGAACAAGGGTTTCACTATTCTTGAACTCGGTAAAGCATATTCTCCTCTTCCCTCTCCCTATTGGTTACTTAAGAAGACTATTGATTGGTTACTTAAGAAGGCTATTGGCGTTTTCTCTCTAACGGACTGAACTCGGAACCTATCCTTTACAGAATGAAATCAGGGAGACTTAAGATGAATTGAAAGAATAAATGAATTAGCTGCTTTACAGTCGAGTAAATGAATGAAATCCGGAACCTGATTGAACTAAAAAAGAAAGATTTGAATGCAACTATGAATCTCATGGAGAGTTCGATCCTGACTCTAAAGATTACCATTTAATGATGGTGTTCACTAAGAACCACAAAGATCAGTATGAATCAGCTGCAGTTTTTTCAAGGCTCTCCATGCCTATTTAGGAAAGGGTTGTCTATGTTGCTTCCCAAAATTGCAAGGAGGCATGTCATCATCAATGTCAACGAGTCCTTCTATCAGCTTCTTTGACTGCATCTGAAGCAAACCTTGATGATGAAAGTGCCCAAGTCTTTTGTGCCAAATCTCAGTGGCACTAGCTCTAGATATAAAGGTCATCTGCTCTTTCTCCATCGGATTTAGAGTAAAGCTTTTTCCTTTCATTTTGACATTGAACAAGTCTTTGTCACTAGCATCTTTGATCAAACACTGTTTATTCTCAAACAACACTTTATAGCCTTTATCAAGAAACTGTCCAACACTTAAGAGATTTTGATCAATTTTAGGTACAAATAAAATATCTGGAATAAATTTTGTACCTTCATAGCTTGTTATAACTACTATGCCTTTTCCCTTGACTTCCAAGTGTTCACCATTGCCAGTCCTCACTCTCTTAACTTCGGTGTCCCTTAATTCCTCAAAAAACTTCTTGTCATATGTCATGTGATTTGTGCACTCATTGTCAATCAACTAGCTCTCGTTTGATTCTTTGCCTGAGGAACAAGTGACCACAAACAATTGATCTTCGTCTTCTTGATCAACTACTTGTGCATCTACTTCTTTCACCAGTCCTTTGACTTTGTAGATCACAGCTTCATGTCCAATTTGATTGCATTTGGAGCATTTGGCGTCAGGTCTTCTCCAACACTTGTATGGTGGATGACCTTTCTTCTCACAATGGCAGCAAGGTGGATAGGATTTTTTGGAACCTCCTCCTTTTGTCTTCTGATAATTGGCAGATGAATCTCCATTCATCGATTGGTTTTTGAAAATTTTCTTGTTTTTATACCTGTTGTTGTCTTGATGCTTAACAGGTAAGGCACCTTCAATCACCCCTTCTTATCTCATAGACCTCCTTTTCTCTTGTACTTGTAAAGCGTTCAAGAGCTCCGTAAGAGAAATCTTTGACAGGTCTTTGGTGTTCTCTAGAGTAGTAATGGTAGCTTCAAACTTCTCTGGAACAGTGACTAGCAGTTTTTCAACGATCCTGAAATCATTTAACACAGAACAAAGCATTCTCACCTTGTTGGCAATGCTGAGAAGTTTGTCAGAGTATTCTTTCATCGACTCCGACTCCTTCATCTTCTGCAACTCGAAATCCTTAATCAAATTCAGGACTTTCATTCCACAAATCCTCTCATCTCCTTCATATTCAGCCTTGAGATAATCCTAAATTTCCTTTGCTGTTTTGAGAGACATTATTCGCATGAAGATCATTTGAGATACAACGACAAATAGGCAAGCTTTTGCCTTTGATTTCCTTGTCTTCTTTTCCTTCTATACTTTGATTTGTGCTACAGTAGGATTTGCTGGAAGCAGAGGAACCTCGTAATCCTATTCTATTGCTTCCCAAAGATCCAAGGCCTCCAAATAAGTCTCCATACAAACTAGTAGGATTTGCTGGAAGCGGAGGGACCTCATAATCCTGTTCTATTGCCTCCCAAAGATCCAAGGCCTTCAAATAAATCTCCAACGAACTGCCCACATTTGACAACAGCTGAAAAACTGGATTCTCCTCCCATTTTGATCTCACAGATCCCATAAGAAGACGGCTCTGGTGGTGCAACAGCTGAAAAAGTGGATTCTCCTCCCATTTTGATCTCACAGATCCCATAAGAAGACGGCTCTGGTGGTGCAACAGCTGAAAAACTGGATTCTCCACCCATTTTGATCTCACAGATCCCTTAAGAAGACGACTATAATACCAATTGTTAGTGAAAGAGTGGGTGATTGAATGGTTGATAAGAAGATTGTGTTATGAAGAGCAAGAATGCTCTATATATATTAGAGAATACATAAAGAACTTAGTCCTAAATCTGTTTAATTTTTCAACTAAAGACACCCTAAATCATTTCGAGATTATAACTCTAGCCCCCTTTTTTCTAGATCCATCTCACATCAATAATTCGACCCCTACCGTCTATAGGTAGTTTTAGACAAGTTTCTTTTGAAGTGGATACCCGAATGCCAAGTATGACTCGTAATAATCTATCTTCAAGGGCATACAATGATTCTTTCGCCATCTGAGGCATTAACTTACCTACTAAAATATCGTCCATGTCCACCCACGATCCCAGCATCACAATTCCATTTTTGTCTAAATTTCAAAGTAAGTGGACTACGTTAGTGATTCTTTCAAGTCCACATTTTTTATACAAAAGAGCAATCTCTTCGTAAAAAAATAATAGTTACGATGCTATGAGAATTTAACCTTGAAACTTCTAAAACCATAAATCGTCAAATTAAAACTAAAGCATAAGCTAGAACCAAAAAAGGAAAATTTCTGCCAACAAATAAGATCGAAGCAGCCAATTAGTAGGATGATGAACACCTGCATAATATTAGAGATTAGAGAAAGTAGAGAAAGAGGGAAGCAGGTTGGCTATCTTATTATTGAACATCCTTGAGTGTAGTTGCAATGAACACTACTACAACTACTACCTCACTCGGGCCAACCCATTGCTAAAACTTAATCAACCTAAAAATGAATGCACAAGACAGCTGCACCAAAAATCTGTCTTAAATGCCCTAATAATATGAAACATTGCCTTCCCATTGCAAATTCGCATTAAACCCGAAAGTGATGCCTAATGCTTACATATCGCTTTGTTGGTAACCTGTACAAATTCTTCAAATAGGGGTTGAGTTGGGTTGGTATGTTCGGAGTATCTATCTCTAGCCTCTACTTTTTTTACCTGAAACATCCCGTAAATTAAACAAAAAGATGAGTGACCACACTATAAACGACTTAAAATGAAGAATCGCATCCAAAATAACTTTAAAAATAAACTTTGAGGTAGGTTTCAGTTAAGCAAGAAGTTTCATTTATACTGGTCAAAATATGAAAAACGTGATGATTAATATGTAAAAATTGGAAAGCATTCGCATCATTCATATAAAATTGTAAACTGACATGACATTTATGTATAAAAAAATTAATATTGAAAATGATTTCAATGATATATCTTAAGATATAATAAATAGTAACAACTATCATAATCTATCACGTATGCTTTCTAATTTTGACACATGAGTTGCCATGTCAGTTTCCATTCTTTATTTTAACAAAAAAGATATTTTCAGTACAATTTTAAAATATAAAGTTAAAATAAGAAAACGACCTCTGCTCTTGTGTTCTTGGCTGACATGGAGAACATGTCCTATAACTTTTCAAAGTTAAAATATAAGTATAAGTTAAAATATAACTTTTCAAAGTCTGGAGGCATAGTCGAAACCTATACTAAAGTTCGAGAGCATGTCCTATAATTTCACCCCAAAAACAAAAAGAAAAGAATGATATGCTAGGTAGAATTGTGTTCTTGGCTTCTCTAAATGAGCTACCTAGATCAAACCCTACGCCAATCATCTCCCCTTTTGGAATTTCGTAAAAAAGAAAGAAAGGAAAAAAAAAAAAAAGGCAGAGATTATTTGTTCTGTACTTGTTCTGATCAGTAAAATTATTTATTGAAATTATATATAAATAAATAGATATTATCACAAACGCATTGTAATATGGCATTAAACCTAGGGATATAGGAGCTGCTAAGGGTTAATAGTTACCTCTGCGAGTGGCTATGTTTCTAGCTGCCTTTCAGATCCTTCCACAAAAAGCAATTAAGGAAGGCATCCAATTTAACCAACCAGAACGCAAGAGCAGAGGTCGTTTGGGGCAAGGACGTAAACGACGCTAACGTATCTCGAAAATCAACTGAAGAACCTTCTGGGAAATTATAGAACCAATCTTCATTGATGGCACCAACAAAATCAGCAACCACCTGTTCAAATCAAACATAAAAAAACCAAACTATGTTTACCGGATGTTATTGACACTACAAGCATAAACAAGTGGTACGGGGCATACAATAAGAAATGTTAAAAATGTAAGCCAATATTAAACCAAAAACCTGCAAAAGTTCTGTCAAAGAGGAAGTGCGCCTTAGCCGTTTGATCCACAACTTGTGAGCTGATTTAGTCCAAGCTCCAACCATGGCACCCTCAGGCATTACAGACTACAAGAAAAATAGGCGGATCAAATGATTTAAAACCACTAGCAATTAGTTATACACATCAACCAAAACATAAAAGCATGACGATGCAAATGCGTGGCAAACACAAATATTCGAGACCATGGAAAACGAAGAAAAATTATAGAATGATTGGTAGTTTTTTCTCTTGTAGAGTTTTGTTTTCTTAGTAGCACGCGGGGGTTGTCTACCCGGACCGTAACGGTTCTCCTTTTTGTGGGTAATATAATATTCCCCCCATAAAATTTTGAAAAACAGACTTTCTTCATATGTTGCACGATAAAAGTCATGCCGGTAACAGCCACAAGAAAGAGAATACCTGAAAACTTCTTTCTTTCCTTGAGAAATATGAAAAAAAAAAAAAAAAAAAAAAAAAAAAAAAAAAAAAAAAAAAAAAAAAAAAAAAAAAAAAAAAAAAAAAAAAANTGTTAAAAATGTAAGCCAATATTAAACCAAAAACCTGCAAAAGTTCTGTCAAAGAGGAAGTGCGCCTTAGCCGTTTGATCCACAACTTGTGAGCTGATTTAGTCCAAGCTCCAACCATGGCACCCTCAGGCATTACAGACTACAAGAAAAATAGGCGGATCAAATGATTTAAAACCACTAGCAATTAGTTATACACATCAACCAAAACATAAAAGCATGACGATGCAAATGCGTGGCAAACACAAATATTCGAGACCATGGAAAACGAAGAAAAATTATAGAATGATTGGTAGTTTTTTCTCTTGTAGAGTTTTGTTTTCTTAGTAGCACGCGGGGGTTGTCTACCCGGACCGTAACGGTTCTCCTTTTTGTGGGTAATATAATATTCCCCCCATAAAATTTTGAAAAACAGACTTTCTTCATATGTTGCACGATAAAAGTCATGCCGGTAACAGCCACAAGAAAGAGAATACCTGAAAACTTCTTTCTTTCCTTGAGAAATATGAAAAAAAAAAAAAAAAAAAAGGAAAAGAAACAAGCACACCAAAAAGGAGTCATTTTTAACTACGAGAAAGAACTACAATCTAAGAGAACGACTAAGCTGAAAATTACAAAAATCATCAAACACCCTAACAAGAAAGAAAGTCTACCACCTTTATCACAAAAAGGAGGGTTCATAAGCACCTCCTCAATCACAGAGTAGCAACCTCTATTCTGAGCCAATACATAGGGACGATTCTAGATGTTCACTCTTCCATGTAGAACTTGCCGAGCGAAAAATTTAACTTAGAAATTTTATCCTTCTAAAGAGAGTTGATCAATGATAGCACAATATAATGATTTATCCCTACGCTTAAGTTATTTATAGTATTGTAGTTTATTTAGGGACCAAGGAAGGGATTCAAGGTTTGGGATCGCATCAAGATGGGAACAAGTGTGGCATTTGCCAGAGTGTTTTTCTTTTCCTTTCTTTTCCTTTCTTTTCCTTTCTTTTCCTTTCTTTTTCACTGTAGTTTTCTTTATATATTTTTCTAGAGGAATTCAAGTTTTTATTGTTCATTGAGTGGTTGATCTCAGCTTCCAGTGGTTTATCTCATTAGCAATCTGAAATCACATAATGAGCCTTTTTTGGCAAAATGGTTGTGGCATTTCTTCATGGAATCGAGCGTTGTGCAGCTCAAATACCTGAAAACTAGTTGATCCCACAAAAATACACTGAAATCCAACACCACAAACCGAAGCTTACAAAGGGACACCGGCTGACCTTTTTTAAAATTAGATCCAAATAGTGCATCTTCCCATGATGCTAAATAATGCATGAAATCATACTTTTAGCTTGGCCTTGATATATGCATCCTCAACTATATTAAAAACTGTGGTTTTCTTAGTTAAAAGTAAATTTAAAACATTAGAAAACCCTTTTATTATCCCTTTGTATATACTAACAGGTGGACTTTTGGTGCCTATCTTCAAAGAATAAGACCCAATTATGCAATCATATATATATATATATATGTATATTATATCGACACAACAATTATATAAATTTAATATCAGTTTATTTTCTTATGTCCAAAAGCCAAACAACTTATTCGTTGTTCCATATATAAATGGGGTTGGGCTTTTCGTCTAGTCTTCCCTTGACATGCGAATCATCCTAATGATAGATATGTTTCTTACTAAAAAACAATAATAATAATAAAATGACATACCTCGATTGCATGAACTGCAGCTTTCAACGATTGGAACTGTGATGATAAAACCTTATGCTTTGGAAATACATCATCGTCCTCTTTTTCTCGGCAAGTTGCCCTATGAATGGTATATCTTTCCTCCAGGTTGAAGTCAAGCTCGAAGGTCATATGGCAAACTTTACAATGTTTCTCATCTCTCCAATACAAATCATGGCAGCTTTCACATCTAGCAAGTGAATCGAGATATGACCTTTTACCATGCCTTACAGCATAAAGCGCATGGTAGAAGAAATTCCATACCCATGAATCAAATTCCTGGAGACAATTCCAGCTTTGCTTTTCTTCTTCTCCCTTCCGTTTAACGTCAAGAACTATAGCACTACATGAAGGCAACATATCACCGGTAGTCTCAGCTTGGTTTAGGCTATTATCGACATCAGACACAGGAGAATAACTGCTTTCTCTAATCCTATCCATATCAGATTGTTCAGATTGTGTAAAGCTCCTGCTCACAAGATTCCTGGTGCTATAATTTGACATGGCTTCACATAGAAATGCTACACGCTTTTCCAGAGATTCAATGAGGTAAGCTTCCCGCTTACCTCTATCATCCAACACAGATAACAAGGCACACAAGGCCTACATTAAGAATAGAAAATAGAACAATAATTAAAATAACACTAGTGCTCAAGATAAAAAGTAAATTTGTCATAAAATTTTCAGGATAATACCTCTTCAGTATCGATCACTTCCCAATGGCCATCCTCTGAAGATTCAAAATAAACCCTCCTATGACCAGGATCAGATGCATTACAAGGACCAAGAAAAAGCCAATATCTATTGTACCTACGATCCGAACCTAAAAAGATAGATTGCATTGGATGCAAGTAAATAACATCTCCCATTTTGTTTGCACCATTTCCTTGACCTACTAAATTCTCATGGAACTCTGAGATTGTTGTTGTTGAATCAATAGGATGATGTTCTAATGAAGCATGTCTGATACTGGCACCATGCAACTGTCCTGAACTAGTCAAGAATGACCTTGACAGGTTGTGTCCCCTGACAGATGACTTCTTTATTTTTGCTCCAGAACCATAGCGTCGTATGTCGGAAGCATAATCAATTGCACAAGATGTAGACGTACCCTATCAGATTGAAAATTCTTAAGAGTACTACACCTTAAATCATGCAACAGTAAGCCAAAGAAATATAAAATGGACACATTTCTAAGAAACACTGCCAGCAAGCGCCAAAGTATAATAGAACTAACTATGCTGGAAAACTGTCCCTGCAGGCTGCAATGAATAAATTCTTCTCCCAAATAAAATCAAATCTCATATAATAAGAGGAAGAGTAGGTGTTCTTTGATTTCTAAATATGAGACATTGCTAGAGAAAAATATCACAAAGGTAAAAGTAGATTTTGATCTTCAAGATATAAATACAAACACTCATCAATATCTTTCACCATTTACTAAATATTAAACAATTATAATGTAAACATGAAAATACTAGGAAATATGACCCTTACAAGATAGAATAATGTACCTTTGGCTTAATACTTGATCCATAAGAAAGAAGATCAATTAAAGCCACCAATGCATTCAACTTCTCTTCAATGCTTAATCCTGAATATTCATCTTCCATCAGTCCTAATAGCCATGCTTCACCTGGATGGCTTACATCAATCTCCATGAAAACAGTTGGGTTTTCGTTATTGGATTTCCGAATTTTAGTTATTTGAGAACACAAGTTTTCTGAATCACATTCAGAATCATAACTGCTGCTGCATATAGATGCATTAGCTGCTATATCATCTACACTTCCAAAATCAGTATCCGACTGAATTTCATCAACATCCATTGTAGCAGGACTAGGCCGGACACGATATGCAGATGAAGATATCTTTTCAAATAAAGTTATATCACTGGACAGAGTGGAACATATTAGAAGCTCCAGTTCTTCAGTAGTGCCAGCAACATTCAGATCAACAATCTTCAAGAAAAAATCAATGTCAAACGGATCAATATGGTAATTTGATGTCCACCTTTCCAACAACTATAATAATAATGACAATGAAGTAATCCACATTTTTCACAACATAGTCACATACCTTTGATTCCCTTGTCAAATCAGAAACTTTGATCCCATTGTTTCCTTGCTCTGATAAAATTATAAATAATTCACCCTTCAAAGTTCCACGTTGCAGACCATATTTAACCATCAGGTTCATTTCCTAGAAAAAAAGTCCAAAAAATGGAGGATACTCATGAAAGTTTATAATGAAGCAGAACAACGCGAACCATTCACAAGATCAAACTTGCCGACATTATGCTTACAATTAAACAGAACAAAAGGACAAGAGTGGTTCAGGTTCTGGATCTCCAAGGTTTAGGCTGCATTTCTTTGGTTTCTGGTTGGCCTTATTGTAAGCTTTAGAATTATTTGGATTGCATTATAATTGTATTGATCCAAGAGCACTGGAAAAGCTTTGCATGTCTATCAAATCAAATTTTATACAAAGCTAAACGGAACCTCCGAGTTTCCAAGATTCTGAGAAGATATTCAGGATAGTCTTGAACTCCAAAATTTAAAAAAAAAAAAAAAAAAAAAAATTTATGGGTCATTTACTTCAGGGGTACTGGGTGAAGATGGTTCTGACTTTCCTACATAACCTGTCTAATATCTTTTTAATTGTAGATATGTATACGATTTATACTTGTACTAAATCTGAAAACTTCAATGTAAAAGCAAGGTTACAAAACTATGGATCAATTACATAGGATATGATCAAACCAAATCTACTTTCGTCACAAAAACAACAAAATGCCTAAATATTGAAAATAGTAAAATTGTGGGTTACTCTAACCTTTTGAGACTTATGTTCGATCGGCTCCTATGAAAAAACATAGAATTTATGGTGCATTGAAGCAGAAAAGTACGAAAACTGAATACCTTAGAAAGGGTCTCCTTTTGCAATGCACCTTGTTTAGAACAAAAACCAGCTGCAATCAACACTTGACGTAGTATTTCTGTCCATGTTAAAGGGTTCAATGATTTCTTCCATACGTCAAGAGCAAAATCTTGACTTCCAAGCTTCAGAATGATGAAAATAAGATATAAGCACAGATGTTTTCTTCATATTTTCAAAAGCAGAAGTCAACTAAAAAACATGCAGAACTATATGATAGATTATGCACTCATCTTAGTCCTAATTAGAAAAGTTTCCTATCTTATTTGCTGATTGAATTGGCTTTTACATATTAATAAAGCAATGTGGGAAAGTTTTTCAAACAAGGAAAAAAAAAAAAAGACGAGTGGAACTATATGATAGATCTTGCATATCATTTAATTCCTAGTGAGAAATGTAATTATTTTATACTTCAATCAGCCCCGCATGATTTTTTTTTTTTTTTTTTCCCTGAACAAGAGACGAGGATTTCATTGAAATAATAAAAAGAGACTAATCCTTAGAAGATGCAAACTCCATACAGAGCCACAAGAAAGAAAAATCAGCAAAATGCTTGCAAAAAGAACACCGTGAGGAAGCCTTTAAACGTGTAGATTTGAACCGATCAAACTAAGGGAGATACTTATCCTAAAAAATTCTCTGATTCCCTTCCATATACAATTCTGATCGAAGAGCTTTGACCGCATTTAACCAAAGAAACTTCAATTTAGTGGACAAAAAAAAATCGAACTAAAAAAAAAAAAAGAATATACCCATAATAGCATTCCTATCAAATTATACTATAATATCTTCTTCAATTCTCTTTTATAATGAAGTTCCTTTGTGATAGTCAAAGATTAAATAAGCTAGGAGCTCATTACTATTTGTTGCTATAAAAAAGGATGAACTGTCCTCAAGAGGCAGTGCCATTGTCAAGGGCTTGGAGTTTCTTGGTCATATCGACTTAGATGTCTCCCAGGTCTGGGCCTTGGGGCAGGCATAGGTGACCCTGAGTGGGAAGTAAAGCTTCGAATCCCAGTTATCTAAAAAAAGGATGAACTGCAAAACTAACAGTTGAGAGACACTACTTAAATCTGAATTGCCGCAATTCAAGTCAGAATGCATTTCATTAGAAAATCTGGAATTCAGAACCATTATAGCCCAACTGTCCATGACCTAAACGATTCTGTACCTAACTAGCTGAACCAAAAATTGGATTTAAACGCATTGGCACCTTCTAAAGTAATTTGTTAGCTGAAGTTGACCTAATATTACGATAAAATTTACCTTGACCTATTACAATGATAAAATTCATCCTTCCAACTCAAAACAATCTTCCCCTCGATAAAACATAAAGATAAAATCAAGCCAAGCAATTTACCTATCATCCTCAGCTAACAAATCTAAATTAATAGTGCACTTAGAAAACAAGGTGCTAATAACCAAATCAGTTCTTTCGTTTGTTCTCAATAAAAGTTGCATTCTCTATCAAGACAAAATGTCAGTGGCATAAATTCAATCATGAAATACTGACCAAATGAACTAAAGCAAGAAATTTGCAAGACTTGCTCAAAGGAGTCAAGTACGCATTGCTAAACTCTGCCTCGATATCACAAAATAGTAGTTTGAGAAGAGCCATGTGAATCTTTCCAAGTAAGAATGAATTCTGCAAATGCAAGAAAAACAAAGCCAGAACAGGGAGTAAATGTCAAGACCAAAATATTTTATATTTTACCGGACATTATTATAGGAAGATCAAAGAAAATATTTAACCTTGTCATAAAATGCTTGAGCAAACTCATCAAGGGTGAAGGGGCATATGCCTAATGTTATGGCGTATGTATAAAGAAAATTGAAGGCCTGCAAAAATTAAAAAGCCAAGAGTTAAATCTTGGCATTTCAAATAACTTCATAAACTTCTTAATGCAATCGCGCATCGAACTTTTAGTTTTCTTGTAATTATTTATGCTAATTGGAGGAACCTTTTATAATCCCTTTGGTTTTTCTTGTTTATTAGTTATTCAATGAGATTTGTTTCTTATGTTCAAAAGATAATAATAATAAAACAAATAAAAATACTACCCAATCAAAATTATCTATTGAACGCTTTATCCTCATGGAAAGGTTATTTAGAAGACATGCTATTTTTCTTTGATAACCATGAATGTTTGAATGAGTTTGTACGCACCTCGACTATTCTCACCAAACAATCGTCGACCTTACAACATTTGGTTGCCAAGAAAACTCATAAGATGTTAAATCATGGACAAGTGACCACCATGACTTGAACACATTCCCTCTAAGTCCTTTATTATTTAGATAGCAACTTATGACAGTTAGAAATGCTCTTCTCTAAATATGCAAATAATCAGGATTCACAGTTACTTCATGGAAAACATATCCTCTTACAAAGGAAATTAATGATAAAAAAGACCATAGAGAAGAAATTCATGGAGGTAGTAAAAGAAAAACCGCAACAGGAAGGAAAAAAAAATTATATCTAACATTCTTTTATACTAAGTGAAAGCACAATAAAACACATTTACAAGGGAGAAAATTAAAAGGGTTTGAGCCCAATGGGTGTTTCCAAGAAAACCCAAATTAGTATCTATGCTAGCAAATTAAAATTGCAATTGAAGAGAAAATGGGGTATACTAGAGACACCAACTGATCTTCCAATACCAAAAAGACAGGATCGACTCCATAGTCTTTAATACAAACCTTGAATAGTTTCTTGCCAATATCTAAAGATGAATCCCAAGATTGAATGCCAAATGGTTGTTTCATCTTCACAGAATTTGGAGGGAACTTGGCAAGCATATCTGAAAATATAAAATATATTAGAGATGATATTCCAAGGATCTCCTTCATACTTATAATAGAAACAACTCTTCCTTACAGAAAAACAGATTTAACCTTAGAAAAGGCATACAAATGGAACAACAGGTGGACAAGTTCACCCCTGAGATCACAGGTCTAATTATCTAGTGTCAGGTGAGAAGCTTTCCTAAATTAATAGTAGAAGAAAATTATTAAAATATGCTAAAGGACTTGCAACCTTTTCAGTGTTACAACACCATTGGTTGGCAGAATGGTGGCACATCAAAAAGAACAAATCATCAACCTACCTCTTGACAACACAATTCTTTTTTGAACTTCTCAGTTCTTCACCAACTTCCCAGAAACGAAGTCTGCTAGATAGTCTTTAGCATGTCATACCAAGCAACCATTAAGGTTAGTTTACCACAATGGATGCTTTCAATAGATATATATACTGAGGTCTATTTGTGGTGAGAAACCTTTTTGGGCATCCCAAGTAGTTCTTTGGTATAATAAAAGTGCTCCTATTGCTTTTTTCTTCTTCTTCTTTTTTTTTTTTTTTTTTTAAGCAGTCTTTAGAAGAAGAAAAAAGACTGCTTAAAAAAAACGGAAAAAGAAAGAAAATTAAAACAAAGAGGAAGAGGGAACGGAAAATTCGTCTTTCATGACCCTTAAAAATTCTCCTAAATCTCCCCAAGTTACATAACGAAAAAACTAAAAACCAGCTGGTCTAACAGTAAATTCTCCCATGGACTTGGGAACACTAATGAATTAACAAAAAAGATGACCAACTGAACCAGGGTGCATCTAGTGGAAGCCAATAATTTGTAGGAAATTTCTCCCAGAAAGCTCTATTAGAAGGTTAGTGCCCAAAAAGTGAACGAGGTTTGTGAGAACCTCGTTCAGATGGATCGTAGTTCAGACAACTTCAAAAGACAAAAGGGAGGCGGTAATGAAAAATGCTAATAACTTTGGTCTAAGAAGCACGGACACAACGACATGCCTTCTAAAAATGTTGGACACGAACATGTCTGGGACACATTATTTTTTTAAAACATTTTAGATAATATTAAAAGATCAAACTCAAAATACTTACGATTTCTTTTACTATCTATTATAAATAATTAAAATTTTAAAAAAATAACGTGAAGAAAAATTTAAAGGACAGTTGAATCTAGTTCAAGTTTTAAATGGTACATAAAACCCAATAAAGACAAAAACACACCAGCCCATTGAAGACCCACAAAAATAAGTTCTATTAAAATGCCAATCAGCCCCATTTAAAAAAAGGAAGGAAAAAGAACCCTAACCCTAAAAAATTCCCTTCCCCTTCCCCTTCCTAAAGATATCACCATCAACTTCCTTCCTTCCTCCCAAGGGAGGCCAAACAACACATTCAAAATATGAACCTATTTGGGAGATAAATTCCAACTGACGAAATGTTCAAGAGGAGTCTATATCTTGCTTGAGGATGTACAAAAACATAGGCAAATACATAAGCTCAGCCAAAAAACTCGGGGATTACCTATTTATATTTTATATCTTCAATGAAGAACATATCACTCTCCCCAAAAGAAAAATAATAATAATAAATTGTTAAGAACGCAATAACTCTTGAAATCCATTAGAAATCAGATAAAACCAATACCGATAACCAAAAAAGCTAAACAAACGACTAACCAGAAAAAAAAAATTGAGGTAGAGAATGATGACTTTATTATAACACATCACCAATAAACCAAAATCAATCGGGATGAAAATGGATGAAAGGCTAAATCACACCGCTAATAATCATGATGCAAGAACAAAAAAATGGTGAAGAAATAGCACTGGCTACGGATGGATTTTGACTGGAAAGGAAAGGGAAGGGAAGGAGGAAAGAGGAGAGAGCATTTCCTTTACTTAAAAATTCCATTGAAAGGATAGTAAAAAATGATGTAGATAAATATTGTCATGTTCTTCCTTCACCTTTGCAAAGTGAGCAACTATTAACATCATTTGCCATGAAGTGATCACAAGAAGCCATAATATGTTTTCCAGCTTGCAACTCTCTCAGCTCCAACTCTTCATCATCTACCAGAGTAGCAAATTGGTCTACGCATCCTTGAGATTTCTTTCTTTCCCAAGCAAGTTCACATTTTTTGTAGCAAAATTGCTTTTGACTCTTTTCTCCATTGCGTTCCACCTGGAACATAAGAGGAACTTAAACAAACAGGAGAGGAAAAATTGCTAAAGGCAACAGAAATAAATAAATATACGTACGTATACATATAAATATACATATATTTTACATACTATATATATATATATGTATGTATTTAAATTTACCCGTCTGTTTTTTGTTGAAGGCTTTCTCTTTCCCTGTACTTTGGATGCCTGCCTTCCCTGTTTATAAGTAGGAGAATTCCCATCAGCAACCATTTTTATTTCAACTGTAACAGGTATTGTAATATTCTAAATTAGATATAGTAAAGGAAAAATAAATACCAAAAATACTCAAGTTACCTTCACTTTAGCTTGTCGTGGTGGTCGTTTCCCTTGCCGCAATGATTCTTCCGATGAAGAAGTTGAAACTGAAGATGCATCCATAAGTTCTCGGCCACTAAAATTTATTCCAGCAGGAAATTTGCCAGCATCAGGATTTGTTGCCTGCCAAACTGTCATCAAACCCTTTCCGATACCATGAGTTTTAAACGGAGCAGCCATCTTGCCACAGCAATCTACAGGGACTGAACTAGTTTGCTTTGAAACCTAAAATTATAGAGTACAAAAGATGTGAAAAAATAAGGATATGGAAGACGGCAAAAAAGCTGGAGCAAGAGTCAAGTATCATAAACATTTTAAATACCTTTCTCACTTTGGTTTCTCTTTGATTCTCTTGAAGCCACTCACCTGTAAAATAATGTACTACAAATATGAATCCTGAAGCCACTCAATATGCAACATTCATTTAAATTTGTCAACATGTATTTTGATAGGCTCATAGAGAGAAGGAAATAGGATATGAAAAGAGGTCAAGAAAAATTCTTTCACTTTCCTCTGACAAAATAGCATATATCAACTCAATAGAAGTGTCTGAGACCTAAAAATGACAAAGCCAAGTTCAAGATTTCAGGCTGATAAGTCTTGTGACTAGTTTGTACAAAATCTTAGTCTTGCAACTAGTTTGTACAAAATCTTAGTCTTGTACAAAATCATCGCAAAAACGCTGACAGATCGGTTGAGAACCATCTCAAACTCCCAAGGAGCTTTTATTGCTGGCAAACAAATTTTAGATCATGTTGATAGCAACTGAAGTCATTGAGGATTATAGGAAGAGGAAGAAGGTAGGTGTGATTTTTAAGATTGATTTTGACAAAGCCTACAACAATGTGCATTGAAATTTCCTTGATATGATCCCGTGGAAGAATAGTTTTGGCTACAAATGAAAAGCTTGGATTTGGAATTGAATAAGATCGGTGAATTTCTCCATTTTTGTCAATGGTAGACCGAGAGGTAAAATTTTTGCTTCAAAAGGCATTAGACAAGGCAACCCTACCTCACCTTTTATTGTTCATTTTTGTGGTCGATTTTCTAAAGTCGGTTAGAGTCAGTGGGTGTGGATAAGGGATTGATGGAGGGGTTTAAGGTGGGTTGGATAGTTTTCATTTGTTGCACCTCCAATTTGCAAATAACACCTTTTTTTTTCTCTAAGAAGGAAAGGTCCTTCACAAATTTTAATGGTTTCTTGTCTTCCTTTGAAACTGTCTCAGATATTTAATCATCAGAAGGAAAGCTCCATCATTGGTCTAAATTATGAGCCATCTAAGTTGTCTACATGGGCCTCCTTGCCCAGTTGTGAGCTGAGTCAACTTCCTTTTTCCTACCTTTGTTCCCTTGGGGGGAATCCGAAGAGTGTGCGCTTTTAGATCCCTTTTAAAGGCCTTCTTCCTCAAGGGAGGGAGGGTTACTTTGATACAATTGGTGCTAAGTGGGATCCCTATCTAATTTCTCTCCGTGTTTAGGATGCTTGTCTTGATTGGTAAGAATATTGAAAGCTTCCTGAGAAACCTTTTAGGGAGGAGATGGAGTGATGGGGCACAGCTAGTCGAGTGGGTAGGTTGTTTTGAAACTAGTGGATCATCGGGGTTTAGGCATTCTCAATCTCATATCACACAATGAGATTTTTTTGGCAAAATGATTGTGGCATTTCTTCATGGAGTACAACGCTTTGTGAGATAGAGTTATTATGAGTAAGGACCACACTCTTTTGAGTGTTTTTCCGACTATAGGTTTAAGGGTTCTAGCGAACATCCCTAGACTGCTACTGCTTCGAGCACTCCTTTGTTCCCCCTCTTTATCAACTATCCAGTAGAAGATGGATCAATTACTTATTTTTCGGAGGGTACTTTAGGTGGGATAAAAACCCTCTATGCTCTATTTCCGCAACTTTATTATTTGTCTGATAAGAGGATGCTTCAATAGCCCTTACTTGAATATCCCCCCATTTCGATCAAGAGGCAGTTGAGGCTGTCAACCTTCTTTTATTGTTTCAAACCAGGCGATCAGTCAATGCATTCTAGGTTTTGGTCTCCAAATTGTCAGAGTTTTTCTTACAACTCCTTTTAAATTGTTTTGTGCTCCCTTTTTCAGTCACATGATGTCTATGAGTTCTCCTTTCTAGGTTACAACTCCTAAGAAAATGAATTCTTTGCTTGAAAAGTTTTACATAACAAAACCGTCTTTGGAGACAATCTTCCTTTGTGTTGCACCTGCGATAGTGTGTTCTTTGTAGGAAGCAATTGGAGGACCTCGACCATTTTCTATATTATTTCCCCTTTGCATTCTCCCTTCGGCGTCAATTTTTCAGTACTTTTGGTGCTGCTTTGGTTCGTAATAGGGGATATTGTTCTATCATCAAGGAGGTGCTTTTGAATACTCTTTTTCACGATAAATGAAGAGTTACAAAGCAGGCTTTCTTTTTCACAATCTTTTGGGGGATTTGGCTAGAAAGGAAGAATAATGTTTTTAGAAGGATTGAGAGACTTAGAGATGGATGAGAGCTCGTATCAGACTTATGGGACTAAAGTCCTTCATCTTGTTGACCTTCTTTCTTAGGGATAAGGCAAACATAAGTCTCAGTCAATCCCACTTCAATAATGCATTTCTCAAAGAACTCACAAAACACTTTTCACGAGTCCTCTTTTAGGTACTCCCAATTTTCTGGAAGATAGCCATGGTAAATCCATTTGGCTTTGTACAACCTTTTGAATCTCCTATACAATAAAAAGGGCTTCCAACTCAACCCTCTCTGATATGAACCAAGATGTCTTCACTTTACCTCTAGGACTAATCACACGTTCAAGACCCAAAAAGCAACAATTAGCTTTAAATTCCCACATAACTGAAGAGTTCCAAGGAACGAAAACCGAAAGAAGTTTTCACTATTGTAATTTTTTGCAAGCATACTTTATTTTAGGTGTTTATGTTTTGGGCTTTCGAAATGGCTTAACTAGAATTATTATTTTATTATGTATTTTTTTAGTTAGGGGTAGAAAGGTCTTTTAGCTAACTGGCTAAGCAAAATAGGTTAAAGGGTTTGAATGAGACTTTACGTTCAATTTTTGGATTTTAGAATGAGGTGTTCTCTGTGCTTAATGATTGAGGCTTATCACCAAACTTTGTAGTCCTTTATCTAGGATTGCATGCTTGAGCATTCAGGTAAGACTAATCAACTTGATTGTGGAGCATTCAAACCATGAGTAGGGAACTAGTTTTCCTTACCTACTAGTCTTCAATCACAGGGTAACCTTCTCTAACTCTCCCTAGGAGTTGTGCTGATTGATTTTTAGGGGTTTTAGTCTTTGATAATTAGGGGTTCTCATAACAAAAGAGTTCCTAATTCAAACTACTAGGGCCATATCACTCTCCCTCTCCGAAATGGGGCTCTAGTCTTAACCTTCCAACTTTATTATTTATATGCTTTCCCAGGTTACTAGGAGAATGGGCAAGAGCAGGTGACTTGCAGAATACCTTTGCAATAGAGAAATGCTCCCAAATGAGAGACAATTGAAATCTCCACCGAGAGGCGGGTCATCCTTACAAAATACCTTCATTAGAATATTCTATGAAGAAAGCAAACTATGAATCGAATCTAACCTCTTCCTTCTATTAACAATGTTACCCTCAACCATAGTTTTACATTTACTTTTTGAATTTAGACCAAACCTTGGTTGAGACTATATTCATTACCAGTAGATGATACTGTAGTTTCATCCTCACTTCTGTCCCTCCTCCTCTTCTGAGCAAACCATCCTTGTACCTGCCTGTAGGTCAATCCTAAAGTGGCCGCATAAGTTTTCAATCTGCTTTGCGTAGGATATTTTTCCTCTGCAACAATAAAAAGTCAGAAGAGGTTACAATATCTTGGAAATAAGACAGGTCAAACTTAATTTGAGATTTATGACAAGTAACGAACTACGTTAATCTAAATGGTCAAACTGGCATGAAAAATTTCTCAAACTATATTCACAAGCCTACCTGAATAGAACGCATCGAGTGCTAGAAGCTGTTGAGGCGTTTTTCGCCTAAATTCCATTTCGTTAGATCCTATAATGCAAGGAAATTAGAAGAACAGCCAACAAATAAGAGTAAAACCGAGTGTTAGTTAACAAACACAATCCAGCCTTCGAAGAGAAATTAAAAACATCAAAAACAAATAGAACATGAATCGGCTCCACTTCATACCAACCACGACCAGAGCGAAGAAACACACTCACCAAAATCCACAGACAAAACCAGTTTCACATACACATAAGCCACAAGAGATGAAAACTAAAATGAATTACGAAAACTACCTCTGAAACAGAAGTGCAACAGCGCTTCCTTGCATGATTACGCTTGGTTGAATTTAGCCATATCCACTACCACAGGCTGAATTGAAGCGGCAGAGAGATTGGGAAGAGGAATCAAGAGTGTTTGTAGGGTAACGGAAGAACAGAGTAAGAGAATTTTGAAGAGTGAAGGTTTTGGAAGGGAGGAGAGAGAATAAGGAGTAAGAGATAACAGAGGAATAACAGTGGAAGAGAGAGAAAGAGGGAGGTAGGGTTTTGGGTTTTACACATCAAAAGAAATATCGCTAATGCTTTAAGCCTACTTCTGCCCGTACTGACCGCGAATTTTATCGGATTATAAAAATATCATACTTTTATGCGCTCTTGGACTAAAATACCCTTGACAATTTCTCAAAATAATTTGGTTAATTATTATTCAATATAATTGTTTTCTAAAATTACTTAAAATTTACTGTTTTTATTCTTAGAATATAATTCAATATTTTTATGACTAATTTAGTAATTATTATATTAAAATTTTCAATTTAATCCTTTATATTCATCCTAGGACAAAATTGAAAAAAAAAAGTTTAAAATATAAGAGATTAATTTGGAACTTTCCAAATTATAAGAATTAAAATTAGATGATCGGTGACCCGAGCAACTCAAATTGAGTTCATAACTCAACCCAACAGTTCGGTTGGGTTGGATTGTTGGGCTGTCTTATTTTAATTACTTAAAAATAAAAAATACTACTTATTTACCACTTAAATATCAAGAAAGGATTTAGGGGGAAGAGTTCCGGTCCGACGATGACTACAAGAAACACAACAGAGTGCGAGATAAATTGAATTTCTATTTCATTTCCTACCGAAAGTCCGAAGAGGAGAAATTTCTTTTTCTGGGTTGGGTTTGATTGTAACAAAATCTACTAGAATTTTCGACTTCATATATTTTTACACGACTCTCCACAATGGTATGATATTGTCCACTCTGAGTATAAGCTCTCATGACTTTGCTTTTAAGTTTCTCAGAAGGCTGTATACCAATAGAGAGAATATTTTTTTTTTATTATAAATCTTTAATCATTCCCTAAATTAGTCGATGTGGAACTTTCATCATCCAACATGGTGATTATAAATTTGATGAAACTATCTTAATTATTATTTTAAGGGTAAAAAAAACTTAATTATTAATACATAGAAATTTATAATTACTTACTTTAATACGTATACGTGTTCGAAATGTTGGTAACCATTTAAAATTTGTACCTTAGCCACTCAAATATATCTTGGAAAACTTTATTATTTTTAATTTCATTGTAATGGTCTAATGGTCAAATTGACCTAATTTGTGGAGATTTTTTGTTTTTTTGGGAGATTTAAGGGATACAGATTAAATAATGATCACAAAAGACTATAAATACCCATGGATACCGATTAAATCATGGCCACAAGTCTTCCATGGGAGACTATAAATACCTACAAATTGTTATGTAAAAAGCAGATTCATGATGAATGAAATTGAGATCTTAAATAAGACGTTTCCCTTTGAAATCCGAGCATCAATTTTGTTATTTCCAAGTTTCAATCAATTCTTGGGGTAGAATTGCATCTGAGTCATTCAATCAAGTCATTAATCAAGTTCGATTGTGGAGTAATTTTTGGATAGAATTGCATATGAGACATGCATCTGAGCCACCATTCAATCAAGTCTTAATCAAGTTCGATTGTGGAGTAATTCTTGGATAGAATTGCATCTGAGCCATTCAATCAAGTCTTAATCAGTTAGATTGTGGAGTGACTTAATTTAGAAGAAGATTCTGTCACAATATCTCATGCTCAAAGGTGTGAATAAATATGAAATTATTATTATTCAAAGAGAATAATACAGAGACAACTAAAATAATGAACTGCTTTATTGTTTGTGGCTCATAAGTGGAGGGCTTCTATTTAAACGGAAACAAATCCTATAAATAGCTCCTACAAAGAAATAAACTATTTGCACTAATTTTTATAGTCTCCGTTAGTGCAAACTTATTTCTCAATAACTCCGAGAGATTTATGAAAAAATTCAACTTGGTGCAACCGTATGTTTGCGCCCTCAACAATTTGATATACCTAACTGCATCAAATTTTCTGATCTAAGTGTCACACTCGTTCACAGGTTGCATGCCACCCGCTTTCTCTTTTTAGGGGGACCTGTGCAAATGGGAGAAAGAGGGGCGAGAAACAACCCCAAGTCCACGTAAAGTCCACCCAAATTATACAAAGCATCTACAATCACAGTGAGCATCAACATAATCTGGTTTCATGAGTATGCCCTCTTCTAAAGCCTTAACAGCAGCCCTATATTCCCCTACTCTGAATAAAGCACTCCCCAGCAGTTTCAAATCTCTAAAATGGGTAGGACAAAGAATCTCCGCTGCCTCCAATACCAATAGAAACTCTTCTTTTGCCTCTTTGTATTTTCCAAGAACATACAAGTAGTTCCTAGCTCTAAAAAGCGGCCTCACGTCAGTAGATTGCAGTTCACAAGCCCTCTTAAAGCTAACAAGAGCCTCCTTGAAGAGTTGGTGCTTATATAAAACCCTACCAATTGCCATATGCCCATCAAAAGCCTCCTCTCTGGACTGCGCTCGATCTGCTCGGGTTCTCAAACCCCCTAATTCCTTGAGAAACAAAGCATAGTCATGGCCAGACTCTTCCCAGAAAACCCTCTTCTCGGAAAGCTCCAAAGACGACCCCAATTCTCTCATCCAACCTGCATTAGAATAGGCATCGAAATTGTTCACCCCTTTCCTATAAATTTTCTCACCTATTAAGAGGTTCAAAGCATCAGATTTCTCACAAGATAAATTCGAATACTTATCGACTCTCAAAACCCTTCCTCAGTTTTGATTGTATAACCTATCACCAACAAATACTAACGTGCCAGGAACTCCTACAACATTGCCAAATATGTCATTCACTACCGGAACTAAACTACCAAAAAGCATAATAAAGAACAACAGACCCAGAAAATTAATACTGGAAATCTTCTTAGTTCTTCCCACCGCCTTCTTACTCTCATTCTTTTTACTCCTAGCAGGAGGAGGAGGCTGACACATACCACTGCCACTCAGGTGCTGTCTCAGGCCTGCATTCTCAGTCATCACATATGATACACATATGATATCTTACTATTCAATTCAGCAACGGTTGAATGCATACTTCTCAATTTATCCTCAAACTCCTCCACATAATCCTCTACCTGGAAAGTTGCGCACTCTCTCTATTCCTCATCAACCTCGCCTTCCTCTTCTCTTCATCCTCATTTAGAGCACAGGGACTCAATTTGGGATTGATAATTTCTAATCTCAAATCCAGGTTTCCTTCATCCATGTCTTTCTTCCTCTTCGTCATGCAAATTTTTCCTATTTCCTCTGATTTAATCTTCTGATCGACAATGACATCGCAATACTCCGCATTAGAAGATGAGAAATTCATTCCCTCAGAGACGCCATAACCGAAATTTCCAAAACCTGAGCCGTGAGACGACGCTGGCTCGCCTGAGAATTCATGATCACTACCACCACCACCATGCTCTTGGGATGGACAATTTACAATCCTCAGACTCTTTGAGTCTCATCCACCAGAATGGGTTGAAAAACACTCGCTACCTGCAATTCAGAAGATTGATAGTTTAGAAACTCACCTTCATTAGGGGACTGCTTGCATGAAATCGCAGAGCTTCCGGATCTTAGAGAGCATGCAAAACTGCAAGCACGAACAGTAGTGCCCCCAGGAGCTTCTCGGTCAGCCTGCAAGTCCAACGAATTGGTCGTTTGATCCAAATCTTCGGAGATGAGGAAATCATCAGCCTCAGAGGAAAGGAAAGGACCGTGAAGATCGCCAAAGGTTAGCTCGAAATCATCATTTTCGTCGAATCCCAAATCCAAGGCCGTGAAATAAACAGAAGGGTCACCAGGGGGGACATAATTGGCATCATCTGTAGAAACATCATCTTGATGTACAACGTTTGTTGGCTGGTCAACAACCTCAGTGGTTAAGTAGTATTCCCAAGTTGGATCTGAAGAATTTTTACTTACGTGTACAACATTTGCTTCTGATTCCTACATTTTGACTCGGCAATTTGACTTAATATGGTTTGGCTTTCCGCAATGATGACACACCACTTTCACCTTACAATCTCGTTTAAAATGGCCAGGTTTTCCACATCTGTAGCAAACTTTAAATGGATTCTTTGACGACTCCTCACTTCTGAATTAATTTCCATTGGTTGATGAAGGCTTTGAATGATAATTTTGTATCCTTTGATCTTTGACATACAACGCATCTTCTGACTTTGGGGAAAACTCATTGGTGATAGTCATTTGCTTAACCAAGGCTTCATGATTTGAAAGAAGATTCTCTCGTTCAATTACTGTAGGCTGATTTGCCCACCCTTGTATTGAGGAAACAAAAGGCATAAATTCTTTTCGTAATCCACGAATAAGATAACGTTGTAATCGAGCATCACTCACTAGCTCCTCAGCATCTAATTCTAAAATTTTAGAACATAGATTTTTCACTTTCAAGAAATATTCTTCAATAGAAAAATTACCTTGAGTTACCATAGCCCGTTCATTCTCTAAAAATTGCAATCGAGCTGAATTTTTCTTAGTGAACAACTTTTGAAGGGTTTTCCACACTTGCTTTGGTGACTTTAAATCACGAACATGATCAATATATTCCTTGCTAATAAGAGTTCCCAAGGTAAACAAGGCTTTTCCACATTTGATCTTCCATTTTCGGAGTAATTTAGCATTCTGTGGAGTGTCCGCGGGTATGTCTATGCCATCACCTTCAATTAAATCCCACAAATCTTGTCCTGTAGATAAGTTTCCATACATAACTTACAATAATTGTAATTATTGCCAATAAGCTTTTCCATAGCTACACCCATAGAAGCACTTTCACCATTCATCTCGTTGAGTAATAATTTCAACCATATCAACTTAGCTCTGATACCAACTGTCACAATATCTTACGCTCAAAGGTGTGAATAAATATGAAATTATTATTACTCAGAGAATAATACAGAGACAACTGAAATAATAAATTGCTTTACTACGGCTTGTGTTTTACTAACTGGCCCGCTTCTATTTAAACTGAAATAAATCCTATAAATATCTAGTACAAAGAGTCTACTTAAATAAACTAAGTTGACTCCTAATCAAATGTTGCACTAATTTTGACCGATTTCAAATCTTCCTTTTAGATCTTTGAACG